TCATCTAACGTCACTACACGATTTCATTTTATTTTATTTAATATCATTAGACAAAAAACAAAACCTTTCCTTTAAAATACTTTAACAGCCGATCTATACTTGCAAAAGAAATCTACGTATTGTTCTCAGTTTGTCGGTCGTCTCCATTGACAGACGCCATTAAATCAGTCATGTTTTTTTTTTAAAAAATGTCATTTTCATCGTTTATTTAATTAAATTTCTCAAGTGTTTACCGAGCCTCGTTTTGGATTTGACGAATATGCAAATACGTCGTCTCCGAACAAGAAATGTACTGTTTGGATAAAGGCACGTAATTAGAAATTTCTTCTAAAACATACGGACAAAAAAATATATATATTGGTTAGCAATGTATATAAATGATGGATTCGTTATTTAAAAGTTACAAAAAAAAAAAAAAAAAAAAATGGAGGAAAGAAAAAAGAAAGAATTAGGAAGTTTGGCACATTGGTGAATTCTATCCTCCCTGGGCGGTCCATAGTTTAATCATTGCGCCTCATATAGCGTGGCTGGCTATGGTAAAATACAAAATAAATAATAGAACTGTTAAAGAAACAGAATTGACATTGTTTGCAATAAGCAATAATAAGAAAAATAACAGGCAAAAAATAATAAAAAGCAAGCAAACAATATATGTAAGGCAAATTACATTGTGTCAATTGCTTCGTCCACCGCAAGGAAAGTTTGCTCCCTGTGTCGCGGCAGGAAATTTTTCTCTGCGGATTCGATCCTTCAGATCTACAAATCAACAATTCGCCCTTGCATGGAGTATTGCAGCCATATCGAGTCTGGAGCCCCTTCTGTTTGCCTCGGGGTTCTTGATAAGCTCCAGAGGTGGATATGCAATATAAATGGCCCTGTTCTGGCATCTCGTCTACAGTCGCTCTCTCACAGTCGCCTCTCTATGTCTTTTTTACAAATACTTTCATGGTAATTGCTCCGAGGAGCCGCATTCGCTGGTTCCTCGACTTCATGAATTCAAGCGCCCTACGAGGCTGGCATCCCGCTCTCACTCTTTCACTGTCGAAACTACTAAATGTAGCCGTCTCTTCTGCTCTAATTGCTTCATGTCTTCATGTCTCGCACCTCTCGCCTGTGGAACTCCCTTCGCTATTCCAGTTTCCCTGAGAGCTATAATCTCCAACTATTCAAATGTAATGTCAATCGACATCTCCAGTTGCCTTGATCTATCCACTATCCTTCTCCTCATCCTTTCTTCTATCACTCCTATCTGACCTTGCTCCAAATTTTCTGTAACCCCTTGCGTCCTAGTGGCTTCCCGCCTTGCTTGGGGTGAAACGCTTAAAAAAAAAATTAACATTAATAAGGCAAATTAACAGTAATAAGGCAAATTAACAGTAATAAGGCGCTAGAGGCACTCAAAGACGATGCTTACTTTTAAAATGGTTATGAATAATGATGAAGCCGTTCTGAGAATAAGGAGGATAATTAACAACTAAAGCATAACTTGATAAAGGTAAAATTTTAACATTCAGGAAAGCAGACGCGAAGGAGACTGTTTCACTCTTTACATTTGAAATACGGAGGAACTTGGAGTGATTCTTTGGCGTGGCTGAGCTGTAAGGGTCTGAATTGGTGTAACTAAAGAATGGGGCTCATCTGAACATTTGCCATGGAAATAGCAATAGTGTAGCAAAAGGTTTGCAATATTGCATCTATGGGAAAGAGGCTGCAGATTGGAGAATATGGCTTCCCTCACAAGACTGTGTAAATGTCCTAGCTGTAAAGGCCTGAACTGGTGGAACTAAAGAATGGAACTCATCTGAACATTTGCCATGGAATAGCAATAGAGCAGCAAAAGGCTTGCAATGTTGCATCTATAGGAAAGAGGCTTCAGATTGGAGAATATGACTTCCCTTACAAGACTGTGTAAATGTTTCTAGCTGTAAACGTATGAACTGGTGAAACTAAAGAACAGAGCACATCTGAATATTTGCCATGGAAATAGCAATAAAGTCGCAAAAGGCTTGCAATGTTGCATTATGGGAAAAAGACTGCTGACTGGAGAATATGGCTTCCCTCACAAGACTGTGTCAATGTCCTAGCTATAAAGGTCTGAACTGGTGGAACTAAAGAATGGAGCTCATCTGAACATTTGCCACGGAAATATCAAATAGAAATATCAACGGTAATATGGCAAAAAGTTCACAAAGTCAGAATTAGGGTCGAAACACAAGAGCAAATCTGACAAGCGAACGTAGCGTTTAACTTCAAGACACGACAGACCGGGAATATGGTTATTTACCTTAGCCTCCCCACAAGACTGGATCTGGCACAAGACCGTTTTTTACGTGGGGCGATTCCGAGCTTGGGCCAAATTTCCACATAGACCCCCGTATATTCGGGATCGGACTTGTCTACCTCCCCAGTCGCGATTCTGCGCTTCGGTATAGCCTCGTCTTGGTTCCTCTCTGTCCGAGAGCAGAGAGTTCGACGTTAGCTCGAACCGCCTGAAACGGCAGATCTGGACTGCAAGTTATTTACCTCGCCTCCCCAAAAGGCAGGATGTGGCACAAGGCCATTTTCATGTGGGGCAAATCCGAGCCCGGAGGCTTGGGCAAAAAATTCCCCGTATACACAAGTGGGCTTGTTTACCTCCCCAGACGTGACTCTGCGTTTCGGCATAGCCTCGTCTTGGTTCCTCTCTGTCCGAAGGCAGAAAGTTCGACAACTCAGCCCAAACCGCCTGAATCGGCAGATCGTGACTGAACCGTAAGTTCTATGCTAACAGTTTCTTTCCTCGCATTTCTCGTTTGTGGAAGTCTATTCCAGCTTCTTGCTTCCCAGTCAATTTTGCTATTCAAAAATTTAAATGCAATGTCACCTGTCTTATTAATTCCTTTTATTTTATTGTTTTCTCTCCTTAATAATGTTTTTTTTTCTCATATAATTTCATGCTCCTTACGTCTTAGTGTGTTTATTGCCCTTCTTGGAGGGAATTGATTAAAATGAAAATCTGACTCTTATAAAAATAAAGCAGGTGTGACGTCCCTAAACACAGCCTTCGCTCGTTCCTCGCTGCTTCGTTCGGGTGTCGCCGCTCCAAACGTGACGTCCGCCTGTCGCGTCAGTCGTGTTGTCTCGTCCTGTGACGACCAACTGGCTTGGTATCGGTCGCGGCACCCAAATGTGACGTTCTAACCTTTTGGTGATTCGGATGGGAATCTGGTTAGATTCGATATCAGCCTCGTCGTTCCCAACTCGCTTCCAACGTCTGGTTACCAAAGTAACTGCATTGATCTCCAGTCTGCCTACCAACGTTGTGAATTGATCTTAGGCAGACGAAATCAATCAGTAGTTGGGGCCGTAATGCAAATCGGGTTCAAACGGGGGTGACACCGCACAAATATGCATAAAAGAAAATAAAATGATAACTCAAAAGTTCAAGGTATCAAAAAAAAGATAACAAACTTTATGTCTAGTTGTTAGACCCGTTCTATGGATTGTGACACGTTGTTTTCCGTTAGGCGAGTTTTAACACTTCAAGTTGTTTGCTCTTTAAGAAATTGGTTTTTCGGTGTGTCTTCGGGCGAAAGTCGAAAAAACGTATTTTGGTGGTCTGGATCTAAGTCGCTCTTCAAAATAATTGTTCTTGGATTGAAGATGAGTCCGGAAATTGCGCGAATTTTGGTCAGCCGATGCGAGGCTTGCTTCAACTGAGCACTGGAGACTGACTCTGGGAACTGTCTCTCCCGAACTCAACTCTGGAACTCTCTGCTGGAACTCTCTGCTGGAACTGATTTTCGCTCGCTGCGACCTTGTTTATATGGACGCCGACCAAATCCGGGGTGGGTTTGTCGGCGCCGGGGGTTCCTCGAAAATTCTAAATACCTATCCACTTCTTTTATTTTTGGTTAGGAATTTTCCACTTCTTTCCATTTTTGGGAGCCTTCTCTTACTCCCACCTTCTCACCATACTTCAGAGGGGCGTGAACTGCCCTCCCCACTTCTTTGTAGCAACCTCTCATACCCATCCTCTAAATGGGCGGTGACAGCTTCCTCCTTGCGTCACGTGATCACCACTCGGCTAATGATGTCCAGCCGGGCGTGTACGATCCCGCGGGCTTTGTTTCAGGGAAAAAAATATCTTCTTAAAAAAAAAATATCTTTTTCTTTTCCTTTTCTTTCTTTTAATCGCAGTTCTCATTTTTTCTGGCCGCAAATAGGACAATGCGATCGGTGGTGGTCATAACTCTTGTTCTCACCTGGACTTCGCCAGTCAGATTATCGCTAATTATCAGAATGGGGGGTCTATTTGACACAACACAATCGTCCGTCGCCTCGAAAAAAAAAAATTTCCATGGTTCCATTCATTCTTTGGTGCACATTTCTGATAACATAGTTTTATTATCGCAGTTAAAGATGTCTTGTCAAAAGAAAAACGGTCAGTCGCCACCTCGTGTGCGGCTTTGACACAATTAATTTTTCATATCTATCCAAAGCCCTGTAGTTCACTTGTTTTTTGTCAATTATCAAAATAACATTTTCAATTGGATTTTTCTTTGGCTAGTCGGTCTGTGGTTTGCTTAATCAGATGTTTTCCCGCATTAGCGATTTGTTTATGTATCCCCGATAACACAGATCGTCGCCAGAACACAACGATTCCTTTATCCACTTAGAATTTTTCTGCCATTGTAATGACAGTTTTTGCCATTTGCTACTTATCAAAATATCCTTTATCCATTGTCTCTTAGTCGTGGGTGTCCTACTCATCATCACGTTTGGGTCTCGCCTCTCTTTTCCTTTCTTTCCTTCCTCTCTTTCCTTTCTTTTCTTTCTGCCTTGGTAAATGGTGCGACACAGGCCAGAAAGCATGGCAAATATCTCCGTGAGCGGTAGAATGAGCCGACCATTCCCCCCGTCATCTTTGGGAAAGGATTGTTTGCATGAGTTCAACTTGAGGTCTGCAGTGAATTGGACGGACAACAAACATGGAAAAACTCACACTTTGATTGCTGAGAATGAAACGGCTTAAGCTAGACATTCTTCTTCTTCTTCTTCTTCCTTTTTTCTTTTTCTTCTTTTTCTCCTTCTTTTTCTTGTTATTTTTTCTTTTCCTCTTTTCTCCTTTTTCTTCTTCTTTTTTCTTCTTCTTCCTTTCCTTGTTTCTTTTCCTATTCCTTTTCCTTATTTTTCTCCTTTTTCTACTTCTTTTTCTTTTCCTCCTTTCTCTTTCTTCTTCTTTTTCTTCTTTTTCATTTTCTTTTTCTTCTTTTTCTTTTCTCCTTTTTCTTTTTCTCCTTTTTCTTCCTTTTTTTCATTTTCTACTTTTCTTCTTTTTCTTGTTTCTTCTTATTATTTTTTATTATTTTTCTTCATTTTCTTTTTCTTCTACTGTTTCTTTCTCTTTTCCTCTTTTTCTCCTTCTTTTTCTTTTTCCTTTCCTTGTTTCTTCTTTTTCTTCTTCTTTTCCTCTTTCTTCCTTTTTTCTTTTTCTACTTTTCTTCTTCTTCTTCTTCTTCTTTGTGTCCCTTTAGTACGTGGGAGATTATGGCGTCCACAATTTCATCTCATTTTCTTTTTGCTGTCTCTCTTCATCTGTTCTTCTCAACCATTTACACAAGCTCATTAGGTTGGTCCTTCGCTGCTTTCCGGTGTCTCTATTTGCACTATATATTCTCCAAGCACTCTTTCCACATTATGTGACCTATAAATTTGAAATGTCGCTACCATTTTTTCTAAAACGTCGTCGTTGATCCCCTGTACAGTCCAACCGCCATCACAGTATTCTTCTGTAGAAAACTGTTTCTGTTGCCTCTAACCTCTTCTTCATCCACGAGGAGATTGTCCAGCATTCACTGACATATAAGATGATCGTTATTACATAGCATTTCAGTATTCTTTTCTTTTTTTCTAACGAAATCTTCCTGTCTCTTAATACTTTCCTTAGGTTTTGGCAGGCATCTTTCACTATTCCAATACGTACTTCGGATTTCGGTGTCGCATTTTCCATCATTTCTTAAAACACTTCCTAGATATTTAAATATTTGTACTTGATGTTGGTTTCACCAATTTGTAGTCCGCTTCTTGGGCTTTGAAAACAACTTTAAACTAAGCATTAATAGAGGTCGAATGAAGCTTGTTTATTAAAACGATACAGTGTGCGATATTATGGTTAATTCGTAAGCGTATTTTAGTACAAAGCAGTAATATTTGGTTATAAAGTGAGTACCATTGACATCACTCTACAAACCTTGAAATACACACACACACACACACACACACACACACACACACACACATATATATATATATATATATATATATATATATATATATATATATATATATTTATATATATATATAAAACAATATATATGCTCCTATATATATATATAACATTATATATGCTCCTGAAAAATTATTTCGGTTGAGCTCTCTGGGGAGGAATTTTTGGTTTGTAAACAGTGACTATTACGGCTAATATAGCAAGACTCTTCGCTAAAGCAATTGAGGTCTCTCAGTCACTGTGTGTTTATTTAAAAATAAATACGCTTAAATTTACCTTCATCCCGGCTTAGTGGTAGAATCTCCGACTGATGCCAATTCAGCTGGGTTTGTGGATGACAATATATATATATATATATATATATATGCATGTATGTATATATAACGGGTGTTACAGCAAAATTGTCCGAATTGGTAACAGCAAAATTGTCCAATTGTTAGATTAAGCTTTGAACGTTTGTATCTTAGAAATGATTAAAGATATCTTACTGGAATTCTGCGAGGTTTTTATAACATTATTTGACTATACTTTGAACAATAAGAATGTATCTAGATCTCAGTTGAAATGATGATCCCTCTTGGCTGTTGTGATTTGATCCAGGTTTCGTCTCTATTGTTCTCTCTTTTTTAAACTTATTCACTATTCTCTTAATCGTTATTAAATGGACTTTGAAGATGGAAAGTGGAAGTATGAATGTTGGTACCATTACTGAATTATTGTTTCTTCTTTTCAGCTGACACAAATCGATTTGAATATATTCTCTTCCTAGCTGAATAAGCCAAAGTGTCTTTCAGTGATTCTTACGACAAATGGTGTCAAGATGGCTAACCGTCTTTTCCTTTTCCTCCTCTTATTGTTCAAGTCTTTCTTAAATTTATTCACCATTCGCTTGATGATTTTTGATTGAACTTTGAAGATGGAAGCCAGAGTATGAATGTTGGTACCATTATTGAAGGCCTGAATGATCTTTTTCCTCTCACCATTGCTCAGTTGGAAAGACATAGTGTTGCTAAATGATTTTAACCTGTTCTCTTTCTAGCTGAATAACTCAAATGGTTTTTCAATGATTCTTGTGACAAATAGTGTCAAGATGACTAATTTTCTTATCTGAAAACCTGGGAAAAAAAACTCAATTAGTTTAGTGGTTTTTTAGATATTAAACATTTTGTGGGATGGATAATTTTGCTGTTACACCTGGCAAACACACACACACACACACACACACACACACATATATATATATATAACCACTCTGTTATTGGTATGGATAGGAAGCTCGTGAAGGATTGAAATTATGTTCAAATACTTATAATTCCAGGTTCATTTTTCAGTTTATTTAAGATGATCTTCGCTCTCTCTAACCTTCTAACTTTCTGTCCTGGAGTAACAAGGTGCCTCACAAGTTCCATCTATGATTTCATTTTCAAGACTTTTTTTTCACTGCTTTTTAGACCGTCATAGCTGAAAGTCCTCTCCCATGTGCCAAACGTCTTATGGATTGAGTTGGATCTTTTCTAAATGATCTCTTTAGCTCTAAGTTGAAATGAGGATCCCTCTTCCTGTTGTGATGTCCTGATCCAGTTTTCCTCTCTATTGTTCCTTCTTTTTAATATTTATTCCTCATTCTCTTGATGGTTCTTGAATGGACTTCCAAGATGGAAGCCAGAGTATGAATGTTGGTACCATTACTGAAGGTCTGAATGATCTTTTTCCTCCCATCATTGCTCAGTTGTGAATACAGTAGGCATGACACAAAACAGTTTTAACCTGTTCTCTTTCTAGCTGAATAACTCAAAGGGTCTTTCCGTGATTCGTACGGTAAATGGTGTCAAGATGGCTAATCGTCTTATCCTTTTCTGAAAACCTGGGAAAAAGAAACTCAATTAGTTTATCGTTTTTTTTTTTTTTAGAACTTAAACATTTTATGGGATGGCCAATTATGCCACGCTGTTATACGATTTGGACAATTTTGCTTTTTTACCCGGTAAATTACCAAGGCTCCCAAGAAAATCAAATTTCGGCATTAAAAAATTTAATTTTGCTGTTATGCCGGTATACATATACACACACACACACACATATATATATATATATATATATATATATATATATATATATATATATATATATATATATATATATATATATATATATATAAACATATATATATCTATATATATATATATAACAATATATATATATTATAACAATTTTTATTTGAAAAATTTATTTCTCTTCGCTAAACGAATTGAGTTCTCTCATTGGTGTTTATTTAAAAATAATACGCTTAAATTCACCTTCATCCCTGCTTATATATATTTATATATATATATATGTTATATAAACAGTGTTACAGCAAAATTGTCCAAATCGGGTAACAGCAAAATTGTCCAATTGTTTGATTCTTTGAACGTTTGTATCTTAAAATGAATTATCTTAGTTCTGCGAGGTTTTTATAACACTGTCATTGAGGAATGTGTTTATTTTGAAAATGAAATCCAGGTTTCGTCTTATTGTTCTCTCTTTTTTAAACTTATTCACTATTCTTTTAATCGTTATTAAATTTTGAAGATATATATATATATATATATTGTTTCTTCTTTTCAGCTGACACAAATCGATTTGAATATATATGAATAAGCCAAAGTGTCTTTCAGTGATTCTTACGACAAATGGTGTTGTCAAGATGGCTAACCGTCTTTTCCTTTTCCTCCTCTTATTGTTCAAGTCTTTCTTAAATTTATTCACCATTCGCTTGAATTTTTGATTGAACTTTAAAGATGGAAGCCAAATGAATGTTGGTACCATTATTGTTTGATAGTGTTGTAAATGATTTTAACCTTTTTCTAGCTGAATAACTCAAATGGTTTTTCAATGATTCTTGTGACAAATAGTGTCAAGATGACTAATTTTCTTATCTGAAAACCTGGGAAAAAAAATAATTAGTTTAGTGGTTTTTTAGATATTAAACATTTTGTGGGATGGATAATTTTGTTTTTAAACACACACACACACACACACACACACACATGTTGGACTCTTATAATTCCAGGTTCATTTTTCAGTTTATTTAAGATGATCTTCGAATAACTTTCTGTCCTGGATGGTGCCTCACAAGTTCCATCTATGATTTCATTTTCAAGACTTTTTTTTCACTGTTTTTAGACCGTCATATGAAAGTCCCTCCCATGTGCCAAACGTCTTATGGATTGAGTTGGATTTTTCTAAATGATCTCAGGTTGTTGTGTGTCTCCAGTTTTCCTCTCTATTGTTCCTTCTTTTTAATATTTATTCTCATTCTCTTGATGGTTCTTGAATGGACTTCCAAGATGGAAGCCAGAGTATGAATGTTGGTACCATTACTGAAGGTCTGAATGATCTTTTCCTCCCATCATTGCTCAGTTGTTTAATACAGTAGGCATGACACAAAACAGTTTTAACACATTCGTACGGTAAAATGGTGTCACACAAAACACACACAAACACACACACACAATTTTGCACACACAAGAAAATCAAACATTAAAAATTTAATTTTGCACACACACACACACACACATATATATATATATATATATATATATATATATATATATATATATATATATATATATATATATATAAAAAATATATATGTCCTATATATATATATATATAAATAATATATATGCTCCTGAAAAATTTATTTCGTTGAGGTTTTTGGTTTGTAGAACAATATAGCAAGACTTTTCGGCATGAGTTCTCTCAGGTGTTTATTTAAAAATAAATACGCGAATTCACCTTCATCCCTCGATATATATTTATATATATATATATATATATGTATGTATATATAACGGTGTTACAAAAATTGTCCAAATCAGGTAACACAAAATTGTCCAATTGTTTGATTAAGCTTTGAACGTTTGTATCTTAGAAATGATTGAAGATCGAATTCCGAGGTTTTTATAACACTGTTGGACTCTACTTTGAGGAATAAGAATGCATCTTTAAGTTGAAATGTGCCCTCTTGGCTGTTGTGAATCCAGGTTTCGTCTCTATTGTTCTCTTTTTTAAACTTATTCACTATTTAATTTTGCTGTTATGCCGGTACACACACACACACACACACACACACACACACACACACACACAACACACACACACACATATATATATATATATATATATATATATATATATATATATATGCCGAGTGGTTAGAACATTCGCTTTCTGGGCATGAGACCCGGTTGAAACACCATGCTC